AGTGACATGCAGCGATGGACTGTTACAAGTCATTGTATAGCTTAGATATGCACATTAAGAATAAAAGAGCACCAATACTTGACGCTTTCCTCAAGCTATAATCAAGCCAAAAAATTTACCCGTTTTTTAATCAGCTCCGTCGTGTGGCGTTTCAGCAAAAAAATTATCTGCTCGCGATTGGAGAGTAGTGAATAATTCCGTTGCAATCAGAAAAGCTATGAGGAAATCCTTCATGTAATCGCTTACTCGCATAAATGCACATACCTTGAAAATGTGGTAGCACCAGCCCGGATAATATGCATTATGTAGAATTGCTGTCGGCGATTTCACACAACGATCGTAATTAGTTGAGAGACGAGGAGGCGATTAATGCGATAAGCCGCGAGTCATTAGCGACCACGCGGCCGATGAGAGTACTTGTGAAGTGCTCTTGTGATCGGCTTCGTCTCTCCGGTTATGTGACTTTTATTGTGAATTTTCACACTACAATGACTTTTCACGGACCTTTGAACTAAGCGGACTTATCGCTCGTTTATGCTCCAACAAGATTTCGCGTTCTACTCATGCTTGACATGAACATGTTATTGAAATTTTCCTGTGTACGTTTGCAAAAGAATCAAGAATTGTTCGATCGACGGTGGTCTTATAACTAGGTGAAAGATGGTGTTCCCTATCAGTTCTATTTCCTGTCACCAACATTCCCTGTAACCCATCATCGTCTACCTTACCAGTCATCCTTACGAGGCTTGGTCCGGTTATTTCAGTGTTTAACATTCGGACATGTTGATAAGCTATACGTAAATCTAATTCCATCAATGTTTGCTTTTTCACTGTTTTGTAGCGATTGCCATCCATAGTGATAATCGGATTCCTATTTGGAATGTGGCCTAGAGTGGTGTTACCTAATTGTCTTATCAAGCTAAATTTCATCAAAACATAGTTGTGCCATCGGGTTCTCATGTCGTTACCACACCGAAAACCGCTGGTCGCTGTGAATCGGCGAGAGGCCAACGTCTTGCCAATAGGATTCATCCAGAAGATAAGATCTCTGTAGAAAATCAAAGCCATGTTCTGATCGAGGCAACGCATTATAGAAGGTCGAACCTGTGAGTGAATTTCAAGAAAAGGAACTTTGAAATGGACGATGTCAAGAAACAAGGAAGAAACTGATAATCACCTTAGTTCTTGTGGGTGCTGTTCCGCTTTCTTAGGCGAGAATCAATCATATGTCTTAGGCCGTATCTCGCGAATGAAATGACACAGGCTGACTTGATTGAATTCTTGTGCTAAGAGAATGAACAGAAGACGGGATGAGGATGAAGGATTGCTTGGTGTAGTGGTTTAAATGTGCGGGATGATCGTCAATCATACGCTTCGTCCGGACATTCGTAACGAGCTTCCTGACAAAAACCTCGTTAAACGAGAGCACAAATTCTGACAGATAATCTTGTCGAATCACAACACATACATATTTCAATCACTGGTCGGCTGTTCATCAACGTTTTTTTGTCACGAACAGTGTTTCATCCTCTCTTCCGTTTCTTATTAAATGAAGGGTAACCAATATATCTCAATTAATCGCAGCAAAGATACTCAAATTGAAGCTGTTCTAAATTAATAAATAAATCTAAGGTTCCTTTACACGACTAAGACGCTGGAATGTGATGTAATTGCAAAACAACTTTAGATGATGACAACTCAATATGAAACTTCCTCAGAGTTCACCGTGCTCCGGTTCTCCTAAGGTGTTTTCTGCGTTCAGAAATGTTCACTCAGATGCTTGTTCGAACGGGAAACAGGCTGTGGTTGGTACAAACCGCTCAACTAGTTTTCGTTCAACAATATCACTTTCTAATCACCATATCGATACCACCACTATCACCTAATCCTTTGTTGATAAGAAGTCCCGTTCATCATTGCCCACCATATTTTGCTTATATTACAGCCAACACTACTAAATTTTATAACATCTGTATATATTTATATAAAACATATAACAATTAAATTGAACTCGTAATACCGCTTGAAAAAACTTTAGAAAACAGAGAACAAGCATTGAGAGGGAAATAGAATGAAAGGAAAGGAAGGAAGCGAGAGAGGGAGAGGGAGGAAGAGAGAGAGACAGAGCAAGAGGGAGAGCACTGCGAGCACCTGTGAAATTCGACCCGTACAGAACACTGCAAAACGGTGATGAGTACCGAAAACAGAAAAGAAAAAACGAACGAGTGAGTGACTTTCAGATCTCATCGTAGACCGAAGCGTTATGCGACTAGATGACAAACGCAACATTGGCCAAAATTTTCGGCACAAAGCTGAGCAGCGATCAACCTAAGGATGAGGCATGCCGGACATTAAACGTTGAGCATACATTGCTTGTAATGCAGATGGAAAAGACATCATTGGTGAAATAGGAAGCTGGCTAGGTTTAGAGTATGGATGATATCGAGGTATATTCGGTCGAGTTTGTGGAGCTTTTGAAACATCAGCGGTTACAGACGAAGCACTCGATGGCGGAGATGGTGTATGAAATTGCTTCACATGAAGTGCAAGATCGTCAGCAGACACGAATTGTTTTCCACAGATTCCTGTGGATTCCACCCAAGAACATATGTGTTTCTGTTGAGAAGTGGTCGACTTGGACGCGATTCCAGTCGATGATGAAGATGTCGTGCTACTTGAGGTCGACGGAACTGTTGTTGGTGAGACCAGAAAGCTCTGATACGACCCCGGCAACATTGGTGAACTGAAAGAAAGTCCTTAAGTGAAAAAGTACAAATACTACCAAAGCAAAGTGAAGAATTATCTTTCCCAGTTAGTCAAAGTATTTTTTGAACAATTGTTAAGAATTTATGGAGAATGCCTTCTAGCGGTTCTTTCTAATTTCAAAATTGACTTAGCATTTTATATTTCTTAAATTGAGAATCGGTATTTGATTGACTGCCGATTGAAGAAGAAATGTACACGGCTATGAATATGTCAGTTGTTTGAACATCAATAAATAAGACATATGGAGAAATTTAATGCAGCGATAGTGAAGATTGATTAGTTTCAGCGTGCCTATTCATTAATCATCCGCTTTTCTTAATCGATAATAATATACGATCAACGATTATTTGATACCTTTCGCAAAAAATCATAAAGAAAAAGCCAAGACAAAAAATTACCTCGAAACTGACGGCATAGAAGAGTAGGTGGAAAACAGCGGATGAGTAGCGAACGAACTCAGTATATCAGGAGAGCAGGACGTGCATCCCGGTGTGACGCATGGTCTTTGCAACAGCATCGATGGACACGGAGGTCGTGTCATTGTGAACGGCATAGCAAACGACGGAAACGGAATCGCATAAGGCATCATCGCATACGGGAACGGAAACGGAAGCGTTGGTGAGAATCCAAGTGGCGGGAACGTTGTTTGGGGTGGCTTCGAAAGCCCCGAAAATGTATTGGTGCTCGATGTGGACTCTCCACGGAAGCCGTTTGTAGCCGGTGTCGCTCGTGGTGATCGCTCCTTTCTTCGCTCACTAGGGCTATCAGCACCTTTCTTAGCGCCATCCTCTTTCTTCTCTGCGATGCTCTTCTTTGACGGTGTGTCTGGTAAACCGATCGTCTCACAAGTCTTCGCTAACATCGCGAGGGGGCTTTTGCCAGCTTCTACCTGAAAGAAGATAATTAACATAAGTTGTAATCCTCAAATACGGACTGTATCGCCAGTCGCACTTGAAAGATTTCTATTTATAGGCTTAGACCTCCTCCTCTCTACCCCCGTCCGCCCTGGACTAGTTGCAGAGCGCGGTGTGAATGTCATCAAATAGGTGTTTTCCTCGGAAGAGAAATGAGAAAAATCCTCTATCAGACAAATTGAAATGAAGTTATGAGAAAGTTTCTATCGACGTTGCGAGCGCATAGATCCCAAACTCGGGGAAAAAAACACGCGCAGCTCATGAAATGGAAAAGATATGTCGGCTGATTAAGCTGGCTATTTCAGATTCGTAAAACATCAGGCAAAATCGCTGTTTATATAAAACTTCACACGGAATTTCACGCGTGGTCTAAAAGTGTCACACGCTTCACGTGGGTTAATCCAGCAATGGTTTTCGCCCTACGACTTTCCTGATTACAATAGATATTTGCAAGAACGGTAAAGGCATAGAGGCCCGAAGAAAAAAAAAACAACTAACACTCGATGTAGGTGTGAAGTCGGTGATGTATTGAGAATGTGTGGATACCATGTCAACCAGCAGCGTAGAAGAATGCGTGTGCGAGTGACGGGTCGGTTAGGGGCGGTCTGGTCGCGTCGGCACATCAAAGGCCTCATAGAGGGCGGGGCCGATGGCCTCATGACCAATGAGAGACGCCGCGGGGCGTGGCCGTTGAAGCACCGACAATCCGCCGTAGAATGATGGACCGCGTCGGAAACATATATCAAGAAATTTATGATCTGTCAATCGACAATCACCGCCAGAGTATCCGAGCTCTGGAGACGGCGGTTAGTGAGAGAATGAAACGAGTGTTGACGAACGGGAGAGACGGACGTCGTCGGGTGGGGGAGAGCGGATGCGGACGAGTTAGTAGCAAGACGGTACTTGGCAGAGTGATTTAGTGCATTGTTTGTGATCGTCGAAAAGAAGACGCAATAGAGGAGCAGCCACTCGGCCACACGTACAATAGTGTCATACAACAATCCACAAAAGTACAGTGGCATGGCGGCAGTGGAATGACGCCGCTTCACTGACCTGCAGAATCAAACACACACAGACAGATCTAAGGGGCAGGGGTACGGATGTTTTGAAATGTGTACAAATGGCTGTACGCCTTTGGAAAGCTTAGAATTCTACGGACGTTCAATCATTGACTCTTACCACTGAAAAACTTCTTTACGGCATCATTTCCGCAGTAAAAATTGTCATTGAAGTACTAAAAGTAGTAAAACTATCAGAGGGAAGTATCAAGCCTCTTAAGTGTTCAAGGAGGAGATGCTAAAAGCACAATATGAAAAGCGGGTGTCGGTAGTGCAACGGTTCAGCACGCGCTCCTGAAAAGAGTGAATGACTGGGTTCGAATCCTAGCTGACGCAAATGTTTTTGCACCCCACTCTACATTGTTGGGTTTATGAAGAAGAAGCTCCAACTATGTGTTGCTCGAGATATTGTTGAATTTTATTATTGTCATGGCTCGAAATGATTTCCGTCACCACATTTTACTGTGCGGATTTCAGCATTTCAAGTTTAGATGTGGTAAAGGAAAAGGCGAATGAGTATAAGCACTTGTTGAATGGGTAAAAGACGGGTTGAATTCTCGTTTGAGGTCGAATTTCTGCACACCACTCAATTTTTCTTGCGTATATTTGAATGAATATATTTGTCCATATTCTTTACTCTAGGTGTTGCATACTGAAGAATTTTTTAGTTCTTTATTTATATCGATTCTTCATATCTTCACTTTATCTTCTCTGTAACAGCGCACTTGTTTTTTTATATGACATCTAGCGTCCATTAATCAGGATCTTTTGGGGAAAATCTATCGCAATTACTAGGAACTTCAGATGAAATTGTTATTTAGAATAAAATAGCTGACCGTGAAACCGAAAGTCTGAATATTATGTAGCGCTAGCCTATATTTTACTATTTTACATGTAAACACTTATGCTTTCAAAACTAGATTTTCATTTACAGATTAAAGGACTGAAAGAAACACGCAGTTCTTCGTTCACATAGAGATGTGGATTCAATTGAACTCGTCGAAGACCATTTTTTTTTTGGTTTGATGATTGACAGCAGGTTAGTGAAGAAAGTCGCCTCAGCCACTTGAAAAGGTGATAATCCACTAGTAAGCGATAAGACATGATAGCCTAATTGTGAGTAAATCCTGTAGTTCGGACCGTTCAGTTTCTGAACTACCATACATAGAACATGGAGCACACGCTGCCGTACAACACCAGAACCCACGGTTGATCGATTCATTTCAACAGTATTGGCTACAATTTTTACATAGTTACTTTTTCTTGGTTTCTCGCCAATAACAATGTATAAGCAATTTTTTGTAAAGCTAAAAGCCCCTAACAGTTGTTATTATCTGAACACAGGAGTCATAGTAGCTCAACTGTGATGCAAACTTGTTACAAATAAATATTTTATTTAGTTCGCTGTTGTTCGACTGCAGCCTGAAACGACCTCGATTGTCTCAGAGACTTCGATATTTGTCGCTACGACAAAAAATTATTACTTTCTCATAGCACGGATTACAAATAGAATAGTAGAATTCATGATGTAAGCCTTTGCCTTCCGTTTCATTCATCAGCCAACTGCTTAATTATTCAAGTTACTATTTTGATTGTACTGCTTTCACACTTTGTTTTCTTCACCTACAATTTGTTGTCTAAAGAAATCCGGGTGGATTAATGCCTTCGAGTCATCACTGACATCGAGTTGCTCAGGATGTGCCTCAGGTCCTCATCCTAATTTGAAACTTTTGAGGCTAAGATTTAGTGGTAAAATCGTCAAGAGTTTTCTGATTAATCATGAATTTTTTTACTAAGAAATGTTTCTGCAGCTTATCAACAGGAAACACTGAGAAAACCTATAAAGCAGAAAAAGCAAACAACAAGAAGGATTATTTCTTACTTAGAAAGCTTGTGTTTCTAATGTTATAATCATGAAAAGTTTCAGCTAATCGTTGTGAACAACTTTTCTACCTTACTATGTATAATTACCTTTTAAAATAGAGGGCAGCAACGTATGAAGAGTTTATGACCACAAGAAAACATCAAAGTGTTTTTTATTGCGAAATCTATTAATAGAGTAGTAGTATTACTACAGCTACCATTAACGACGATAGCAATAATTTCGCTCTCCCCACTATCGCAGGATAAATTGCTTCTTTACTTCTACCTATTTCGTTAAGTTCTTCTCCCATATCAATCCTCAGGGTGAATGAAAAATGTCTGATAATGAGACTGTTGTCGATTGGACGAGCGGATTGTCGCGGCAAAGCTGAACGGCTAGGATTGGTAATGAATTTTGGTAGCACAGCCGCTGGACTCAGAAGGTATTAATGTCCTGCAAATAGCCTTGCGACCGGTGGTTCGATCTCGGTGCTTAGAAGGTACCCGAGCACTTCATTTTATTGACGATAGTTAATTCGTATCAGACTCGCCTGTTAATTGTTCAACGTCTGTCTGGTTTGCTTTAGTCATAGTGCAGACGAAATCCACACTCATTAATTATCTTAACGGATTCACAAGTGGAACACGATTAAAGTGACGCATCCATCAGGGAAACTAAGCGATGCTGTCTATGAGCATCGATCATATTTTTCGGAATGTCATCTTTATTATTATTGCATGATAAGAGATTTTTATTGAATTTCACCTTGGTGATTGGTGTTCTCCTCGTCTGAGACAATTTCAGCCGTTAACTTGTTGATGAACGACTCCTCTCAGACCATTCGTGCAACGCTGAAATCCTCTCGTTCGGGCCGAGGACGATGTTCTTCTGTGCTGACCGTAAACGAGCAGTCCGTCCGTCCGTCTGCAAATGTGTACGCAAGGTGATGGGGTTGGAAAGCGTCTGTGCCCTCTCAGCTCGTTCTTCTTGTCGAGTCCTCTGGCGCGCTGTCACTGTTCATCCATCTTGATCAAATGTGCCGCTCTGTGATTTCTATCGTTTCTTACAGGCTGTCTGTCATACATCAACAGACGACGTCTTGCCTGCCCATCCATCCGTCCGTCCGTCCGTCCGTCTTCTCTCCAAATACGCGCTGAGAGCTCCGCACAGGATGTTGACAACCCTGAACGTTAGAAGAATAATAGATATGACATTTCAGTAAACTTGAAAATCCTTGAAAATCTTCTTGACAGTACCGCCATCATTCGAATCACTGTTAGGTTTTCAGTTCAGCATAACTTACTTACTTCGCTTCCTTTACAGAAAAGAAGTAATTTAAACAAAGTAATTCACCAGAATCCGAAGAAAGATCAGCGAGCTTCATCTAATGATTTGGTTTTAGAAATCCATTTACGAGGTTTCCTATGATGACTGCAAGGTCTTACTCCGCTGGTAAAAACGGCGTTATAATTGGAACTTTCCATCTGTACTTTGACCACGGACGACTTCAAGCAATTGAAACCGAGATAACTAGTTGATGAATAGGGTGTTATGAGTTTGCCTAAGCGCTTATCTTTTATAACGATCAGCAAATAGTCACAGCCATTTGGACCTGGCGAGTCCTGTAAGAAGAAGATTTCACTGCATCACTTTTCTTAGGTGGTTTTTCTAGAAAGGAAGTTTTCAACGCCTTCAAGTTTTACTTGTTTATTTACGCAGTATTTGATGTCATCATGTCTGTACTCAGTTTCAATGATAGTTTATTTCTAATACTGATCTATTGTCTATTGCTTATAATTTGAAGATCTATCGGATGAGATCAATACAGCTCTGATCAGTTCATTCAAATATGAAATGCTTTGAGTGATTCGATTTGTATCTTAAATGTGACTAAAATGGATGAATCTTATAGAACAAAATAGACATGCTGGCAATGGCAACAGAGTGGCACATGTTCTCTAGTTGATGAGTCGGAGAGTTGGTTGTGGAGAGTGATAAATCACCACTGGTTGTTCGGTCAATCCTCGTAGGACCCGTTTATTAGATGTGAAATGGTATGCGAAATGACATGTGATTCTTCATGGTCGTTGGCTGCTTTGCCAACTCTCACATTTGACACCGAAAATAGAAGAGGCAAGCAAAATTTATATACACTTTGCAGTGTTATCCAAAGAAAATTGACGCCATAGTCTATGACCAATAGGTGCAACCTCAGTTGGCTAGTACATTCACTTCGTCTAGTTCAATCTCTTCCGCCAAAATCATTTCAGCGCGAAGCATTTACCAATCCTGGAAGAAAAAAATGCGTGGTATACTTGTTCAGCGACACTCAGAAAATAAACAATTCGTCTACTATTGAAAGAAATTCTATAGATAATGTACATGTGTCTTGCCGAATCCTCAACGGCGATCATGTATCTTGTCACACCACTAATTTAAAGCAGCGAAATACTGGTATATTTGTCACAGAAAATAGCTATCTGAAATCTCGAAATCTGGAGCTCTTAATTTCTCAAAACCTTTTTTTGGTTCAAAAATTGTAGAATAGAATTGCACTATTTTCAATCAAAATTTTCGTGGCTTCATTCAGTACGAAAAGCTGTTGTATGAGTTTAAAAGAAGGCGGCCAAAATTTCTGATCCAGCCGACGCGACAGTGATTTCTGTAGGGATATAAATTTTGTTTGTTTCCCAAAAAAAATTCAGTGATATGAGAGAACTAAGCGGGAATAATTTATTTCTTTCAAACGTTTCACTAGCGATAATCGGATAAGAAATATTGGCTGAGACAGCGCTTTATAGAATCTCCTCACAAAAAAAATGTCATGACTAATTCATGACGAGTGGTTCCGTTGTTGTAATAGAATGCGGAACATGCTAACATTCCATTTGATGTTTCTGTTTCATTACCAATTTTTGTGTTCGTTTCATATTACACTGTTGTTGAAGAGTTATCGAATGCTACACAGCAAGTCATTTACTTCTCCAGAGGTTTTCCTCATGATTGACAAATGTCAACAAATGATGTATTATACTTCGAAAAACGCGCAACACGAAACAGCAGTTGTTTGTAAAAAACCAGAACGACAGTATCCAATTCGATTAGAATAACTAATTGAAGGCAAACTGTCACGAGAACTCTCAAGATTTCTATCAAAGAACTGTTTCCCGGACACCACATTAATTCATATTTTTCACTAAGACTAGTAAAGATATAATTGTATGCTATAAATTTGTATTTATATAATTTTACGGTTTCAACTTACTTTTGACCAACCTTTAGATGAGCAATAAATAACGTTTCCATTTAGACGGGAAAATTTGCGGCGAAAGACAAACGCTTAAATTGAGATAATCGGCACTGATAGGAGACAGATCGCACCTGTATAGTGTCGTTATCCCGTGAGAATCTTCCACACACAAAATGACATTAATCCATGAAAAGGGAGCGACCTCGACATGAGTCCAGCCGA